TATAGGTTATGTTCAGTACATAGGGAAAATGACAGATCTGCCCTTAGTACTTACATGACAAATAAAGCAAATAAAAAACTGAAATAACAAACTGACCACTAACTGACACTACCATGACTGAAACAAATAATTACACATACTGTCCTACAAACACAGTGGGGACCACAGCTGTGGGGCCCACATCAGTGTTCTCTACATTTTTCTCTTCACGCACGACTCTTTTTGTCTTCTTCACCCTCTTGTTGACTCCAACAGTCCAACCCCAAATAAGCCTCCCCTCAATCTAGCAAAATACTTTGAGAACAGCACAATTCCATTTATTTTTTGGTGTCTAAATATTTTAATTGTGTTGGGAATGACCTCAAAATTCTTCTTCTCCCCAAGATTATCATTAATCCTTTCAAGTTCTAGAACTGCATTCTACAACTGTAGATTTATCCATATGATTCAAACTGTCCTTAGAACCTTCAACAAATTACCAGAAGTTTCTTCCACTTCCTTAAAGGCCTTCCTTGTAAACTCCTCATGCCCCAAGAAAAATAAGCCCAGTATTTTGCTCACATCCACCTTTACGTTAATGACCATTTACAAATCAGCTTTTCTATCAATTTCATGTGTTTCATCCAACATAACTGCACATTCCTCCTCTTCATTTTCAGCTTCCAAGCCCTCATCAATAGGTTTCATTCTATAAGTCATTTTTCTTTGGTATACCCTTGTTCCTTTATCCAACCCATCCTTTTCCTGCTGCTTTCCTGATTTATCCTCCTCTTCATTTACGTCCTTCCTAATGTCCCTTTCCACCTTTTTGCCTTTTCCTTTTCTTCCAACCTCTCCATTGTATGTTCTCCTCCATCTGCAACAACCGTAATAGATCAATTTTAATTCCCCATTGTCCTGTTGCAGCCTGCTGCCAAAAAGAGAATCTTGTAACTCGCTTATAACCTCCTCAGTTCCCTGAGAATCGTCAGACAGGTGCCTATTAACAGCCATCCCCACTTCCTCCCACCGAAAACTAAACAAAGAGGATGGTGATGGACCAGAAGAGTCGTCCATCAACAACCTCCCTTGTCAGTCACGTGATTGTTTTAAAGCCCATAAGCCTCGTCTCTGTTCAAAGGGCTACATACATATGACCCAGGTTCTTTGACCAACCCAACTTCTGTTGGCTTCATAGAAATACCTAAATTAATACTAACCAAATCAACCAAGTAAACTAATAGATTTCTCTGGAGCAGATTTAAACTTTTTAATCATTTAAACCATAAATTTGCTTTTGAAAATAATGTCAAAGAAGTAGCAAAGCAGGAGCTCTGCCAGTTCGTCCTCAACAGCATTTCTCTTCTTATATTGAGTTGTTATTATAGAGGGTGGACCAGCAACTAATTGACTGGAAATATGATGTGGGCGCCGGCAGCAGCAGCAGTAATTTAGTGTTCTCAGCAGCAGCAATTTAGTGTTCTCATCCTATCTTATCTATTCAGTATTCTTACTTATCTGCTTTCAGTAGCAGGGATTAGTAGGAGTCTTATCTATTCAGTGTTCTTATCTTATCAGTTCAGTAGTATGGATTAGTAGGGAGTCTTATCTTATCTTATCAGTTCAGTAGGATAGATTAAGGGAGTCTTATCTTATCAGTTCAGTAGGATAGATTAGTAGGGAGTCTTCCTAATTAGCAAGGAGTCTTCCTAAAAGTAGGACTCTTATCTCTTGTAATCTCCTATTTAAGGAGCTGAGAATATTGAATAAAGGCATCGAAAATTTCAGTCAAGAAAGAGCAAGAGTTGGTGATCTCTTGAACAAATCACCATTAAGGCGCCAAGATAGGTTCCTCAAGAAAAGGGAGGAACAAGGGAAAACAGGAGGTTTTCCCCGTGGACCGACCCGTGACGAGATCCTATTCGCGGGCCCTGAACAAAATATCATCCCCTGACATATGCCAGTTAACTGGCCTATTGTACTTTTGATTATGCCCTTTCTTCAAACCTACTGATCATTAGCCACCAACATTTGAAGTTATTAATTCATATCTTGATTTTTCTTCACAGCAATGTGGATGGAATAACCTGACTAGAGCAATTCAGAAGTTGGGTAAAGTTTCAGACATTGTCACTAAAGTCAGGAGAGACTTTAGATAGTTTCCCAAGTATAGCACAACTTGCAAATAAGAATTGGGAAGGAGTGTTTAAGCACAAAGAAGGAAGATTAGACACTGAAGAAGAAAAGAAAAAGATATATATTGCTAGGGAAATGGTTCCAGAAATTCCCTAAGAAATATCAAGCTATTTAGCAATCCAGTGACTAGAAGTGAATATTAAGTTGTACTAAAATGGTTGGGGATGTTGAACCTTCTGAGTGTCATTCTTCATTTTGCCATTATTGAAAGACCACAGGTTCATTCACCGACTTTTTCAACTCAAAAAAGTATTATGTGGTTACTGGTTACATGCAACAAGGTTAGAGTCTGCAAAGATCTTCAATGACTACATGTACAGGAGAAACATGTGGATGGCGCGGGACACAAACGGGCATGGTGAAATGGTTCCGTCCCCATAAATGGACACCAACATAGGCAAGACCCGGGCTAGCCAGACGGGCCCTGGAACTAGCAGAAGAAGTGGATGGTGCGGGACACAGACGCCCATTCACAGAAGGAGTCATTGTCGAGGACGACAATGAATTGAGTGGGGGAGCCTGTTATGGTTCGACACATGCTTAGCCTTGCCTACGCTTGGCAGGCTTACGTTAGGGACATGCCCGTCATTTTCGCCTGTAAGATTTTTGGGAGAACTGATGTCATTTTCAGGCAGACCACCAAAAGCTTAACGTACTCTTTGAGGAGGGGTGATCAACCTCCTTGGGTGCCTAACCTTGGCACTCCTAGACCTTCATCCCCTTGCGGGGCGGCCCTGGTTAATGGCTAGCATGGCTACCAGGGTTCCTCATGGGCGCACACATGCTCATGGGGACAGTGTTGGACCGGCACTGCGCTGCCGACATTCAAGGGAGGCTTGGCATGCGGGCCTGGCTCAAGCATGACCCTTCACCTCGCCAGCCCCTTGCCCAAGCTGATAGAGCTATCCCGTTGCCCCTAGCGCGCGGGTGTGTTCCGGCCCAAGCGGTTGCCTATCATCATGGCACACAGGTGCCTGTCATCATCGGCATACAGGAGTCCCTTCACATCGGTGCCAAGTCACCTCATCGGCGCACAGTCGCCTTGCATCATGGTTGTCCCCCTTTAGCACGTAAGCGGCACCTCCCATGGACCGGTCTGAGCCAGAAGAGTGCCCCGGCCATTGGACTTGAGGTCATGATCCAGTGCTACTGACTTTCGTGGAGCCATCTCATCGGGCAACTCCTAGCCTCTAAGCGCAGAAAGGCTTGTCCTAGCCTACCTTGGCCTGGACGCCGCACGGGTTTATTCCGCTGTAGAACTACCCCCGTGACATGTCATTCTTCATTTTGCCATTATTGAAAGACCACAGGTTCATTCACCGACTTTTTCAACTCAGAAAAGTATTATGTGGTTACTGGTTACATGCAACAAGGTTAGAGTCTGCAAAGATCTTCAATGACTACATGTACAGGAGAAACATGTAATTGGATTGCTCCATCTTGTTTAATATAGCCTCTTACCTTAGTTATCAAAAGAAAATGTTAACACAACATTTATGACACGTTTCCTGGCATCGGAATCCAAAAATGTTGGGTTTGTTCTTCTAAGGTGGAGAGGAGTTCACCAGAAGAGATTTCTTGGTGTAGGAATCCAAAAAACAATCAGATATAGAATCTGTTGAAGATAGCAGCACTTATGATGAACCTTTGGAGGATGTAGAGGAGTGATTGTTTGAAACAAGGTTGTAGGATGGTGGGGGGAGTCTATTTTTTCAATTGGGATAGGCCTCTTGGGTGTCGTTTTTGTTCTTGTTGTCTTAGGCGGCTTATGTCCTCTTGAGTTTGTGGTGAATGTTCCTTGAATTGTTGTTATAATTTGTGAGGAAGGTGGAAGCTGCTTTTTTTTTGGGGGGGGGGGGGGGGTTCCTTTCTCTCAGATGATGTCTTATCACCTTCCTTTGTATCTTCTTATTTTATTTTTAATGAAATTTTTATTTACTACAAAAAAAGACACATTTCCTGTTTCTAAATGACCAAAGTTTCTAGCAAGACCAATTTATTGAGCCTTACATATATCTGCATATTATATTGTTACTTGTTGCATTGTAATCTCTTCATTTTTTTCTTTTTTTCTGTCCTTTCATTGTGCCGCTATTTTATCTTCATGTTTTATTAGACATAAGCATACTGTTTTTTTTCTCACCATTCCCTTCATTTGCAGTAATAATTTTGGTTATTAATCAAGAAAAGGAAATAGAGATTACCTGTAAGAAGATGTCCTGCTTCATGTACTAGAATTCGGCGCCTATATGGAGGCCAATAGCTTGAAATTTGAGCCAAACAGCAACCCCCAAGGAAAATAGAGTCTAGCATGGCTAGCCCTAATATAGCTGCAAGGTTAGGTCTAATATCTATTCCTTGAGAGAGTAAATAGGATATTCCACCAAGAAAAACAACAAGAACAAAACTAGAGCTTCCAGAAAGACCCCACTTCTTTGGAGAAAGCTTAGACACTGCAAAAGATAATAAGGCACATTTGAGTGGGTATGCAACCATAAAAAGCATTAAAAGTTGTCATATATGAGTAAGAAATGAACAAGGTAGAAGTAATAAGAAATGATTTTAGCACTAATAATTTAACAGTGGAAATGGCGTTGAATAGAATGGATTGGTGAAACAGGATTCATGTAGCCGACCCCATATAGTTGGGATAAGGCATGGATGATGATGAAACATAAGTAACTTGACCTTGAGAACCACTGTATTAATGCAAGGAACACCAAGTAGAAATTGTGTTCTAGTTGATGAAAGGTATGACAAACACCAAAAAAAAAAAAAAAATCATTAACTTTTGAAGAAATTGAATAAAGGAATTTTCACCTTCCAAACCAGTGGAAGACTTCAAAACTGTTGGAGTAACATCTCTTGGTCCCTCTAAAACTGCAGAAACGTGTAGTCAAAAGTAAGTATAAAAAGTGATTCTCATGCTTATGTGAATGGCAAATAAACCTTTAAGTTTGTAAATTTACTTCTATGTCGTGTGCATGTAGATACATAGGCAGTTCTTCCCCAAAATTATGAGTTTGTGTTTTCAAGTACAGTTTGAACAATAAGAAAGTGTCCTAGCATTATATCTTTCAATTAGAATATTGTAGAAGAATAAAAAATTTCTGTATCTTTTCTTCAAGGTGCTGAAGAACTGCTTGTATCTGTGGTAGAAGTACAAGACATCGATATCAAGAACAACAAAAAAAAAAAGAAAGAGAGAACAAAAAGAGAAAAGCAAAAAAAAGGGAAATATTAAATATACACTCTTCTAAGAATTCATAAGAAGATCCCTACAGAAAAAGAAAATGAAAAACAAAAATCTGTGAATAAACCAACCTTCATTACAACTCATTCAAAAGTTAACCTAAAGTCATCTCGTCCATGGCGTAGACAATTGCTCAAAGATAAAACTGAATTATATAATCCAAGTTTCTGAAATTACTTAAACATACCATAAACAAAATACTTATATCATCAAAATGCCCTATAGAATCCGGTGGAGAGGAGAAAAGAAAATGTCAAGCTTGTCAAAAATGCAACAAACAGAAAATAAATGAAAATCCATTTCAAAGACGTCGTAAATTTCACCACAAACGATAAATTCCCTGTTCAAGTTCCCTGAATCAAAACAATTAACACTGAAACAGACAATGAAAATTAATAGAAAAATACCAATGTTCCTGCATTTTCCGAAACTGGGCAAGAATCCTCTGTCCCTAAGAAACGCATAAGCACTACCCACAAGCTTCATATCGTCCGCATTCAAGCAGGTATCCAAGACTTCCCAATCCCTCTCGGACTGAAACAAGTCTAGACCATTACCCGGAGAAGAAACTGAAGAAATCAAGGAAGAAGAAGAAGATTCGACAGATAAACTTTCAAGTGACTTTAGGAGTCTGAGAGCTCGTGCGAGGTCCTTTTCCTTCACTGCATCTTCGTATTCTTTCCATTCTCTCAGAGCTCTGGTTCTTAGCCTTCCCCAGTGAGAGGCTTTTGTCTCTGTAAAATAGCCGAAAATAAACAATGAGGTCGGAGAGAGGTGCAATTTGGAAGAGCGGAGAGTTGCGTGGGAAAATTGGGGTGAGGTTGTGAGGGAGAGAGCAGAAAAACAGAGTGCCATCGGAGCTCACCAGTCACCACAAACTAACATAGAGAAAACGAATTCTGAGGAAGGAAATTAGATTTTAACGGCCGAGAGTCAGCGAATAGACGGCTCAGTACACCGTTTGGTTGAGATCTTATTCCTCGCTGTCTGTAAGCTGGCCAAAGATGTTGGCGAATCACGTTGAACGGTTTTGGGTAAATTACACTATTTTCAAGATAAATTTCTTAAATTATCTTACCCACATGGTTTAGTTAATTGACTAAGTGTACCCGAAAATTGACTAAGCCTACTGTTTCTAACAATTGATTAATACTTCTCTTACCGTTAACATAAATACAAAAAGACTATTTTACCTTTTATGTTTCTTCAAAATTTCAAAATAAAACAACTTAGACATGGAAAGGAATCTCATACTATGTTTCGATGGAGTTCGATCAAAACTGAAATTACAGAATAATTTACTGAGAGCGTAAGTTGGGAGATTGAGAGACAGAGGCAGAGGAGGAAGTCTAAGAACGGAGAAAGGAGAGAGAGACCAGAGGCAGGGGAGGTCTGAGATGAAGGATTGAAAGCGTAACTTTTGATGACGCTCTAGAAGAGGACGATTGAAGTGGGTGATCATAGGAAGGTACGCCTGTTCACTGTGCGGATTTAACGATTGAAGCACCACTTGCTGCACTAAAGCTCTCATTACTCTATTATATACGGTAGCTATTCGGGTGTTGTTGGTGATGAACAAGATTCAGCCATTGCAACTGTTGATGCTCGGATTGGCCGAGGACAATAAAATAATTTCGTCTTTGGGCTCCAGAGGTGGGCCGAATGCTTCGAGGATTCGGAGACGAGGTGCTGAGGTCGAGGGCTACAAGCCTAGGCTGATTGTGTACCGAGTTTCATAGAAGCCGAGGGCTGGTAGTTGAGGTGCTCCAAGGCAGAGGATGTCAGAGGCCTCGGGTGAGAACTCGAGGCGGAGACTTTGACGGTCAAGTCAGTACGACGGTACGAAGAGGGGAATTAAGTACAGATGAGTAGACCTATTCATGGGTCGGGCGGGGTCGGGCTTTCACTCTGTATTAACAAATTTTTCTACCCGAGCCTGAGCCCAGCCTGACCATCGGGCCTACAACTTGGGCCCGAGCCCGAAATTTAGCCCATGTTGTTACTACTGCTGAAGCGGCTGAATAGAGAGAGAGAGAGAGATTATAAAGAAAAAAATAAAAAATGTATATATTAAATGATAAATATATATATATATATTTCAATAAATATTATATTATTTATTTTATATAATATATAAAATACATATTATGTATGTTATAAAATATATAATGCTAAGTCGGGTCGGGCCGGGCTCCAGCCGAGCTTTTTTGACAAATCCCGAGCCTGGCCCGAAACACAGTCGGGCTTATTGTGTTAGGCCCGAGGTTAGGCCCGCGGACCTAATTACATGACCAAGCCCGACCAGGGTGTGGGCCGGGCCATCGGGCTACCCAACCCATGAACAGGTCTACAGACGAGGGCTCCGAGGAGGCTACTCGTAGACGTTGAATTCCCAAAGTGACTGCACTTAAGCTTTGTAGTTGGATCGGATTTCAGGAACAGGATCTCTCACCTGGACGGGGGTACCCCCTATACTTGAGGCATCTGGAGCTGGTGGAGATGAATGCTTGAAATGGGAGCCGTACGAGGGCAGTCAGCGAGCTCAATGGGGACGCATGGGCACTCCGCGATTGGCTCTGTACAAGGGGTGCAGGGTAGCCCCCGTTGTGGCGAACCGCATCCCTGGTTCTGGCATTTGTGGGCTGGGCCTCCCAACCCTGAATGGGCTAGGCTGGGCCACCCTTCATCAGTTGCCCCCCACTCCCGATGCCGAGGTGAAGAATTCGGCTTTGGCTTATGAGAGTAGTAATGGTGAGTGTCAGTGGGTCCGACAGTCGAGGTGTACCCTGTAGTGGCGTTCTCTTTCGCGTCTCTGCCTGGTTCGTCTTCATAAGTTGGGCCAAAACTGCAAGTGATCCACGACACTGCTGCTTCGGTTAGACGACTGGGGGCCGTATTCTGCACGGGTCCATGTGTTGGGAGAATACCCCGTGAGCAGAATGACTTTCCGGTCAAACCTATGTGTGCATTCGCGCGATCGGGTCACATAAACCGGTGGGTCGCAATGGGCAGATGCGCTAGTTCACCTCAAGAGTCGTTTCGCCTTCCGAGGACGAGGGCTCAGGGGTGCAGTGTGGTTGGATCGCAGGTGCAGAGGTGTTTTGAGTCCGTTAGATCTGAGACGATCCTAGCCATCACTAGCGCATCATTTCGCCTTCCGAGGCTGAGCATTACGCGGCGGACTATAGTTGGGTTGTAGAGGCGGTGGCTTATCAACCGTTGGATCTCGAGATATTTGGGTCGTTTGTTCTACTTTAAATAGGGCCCTTAACAGCAACGTTCTTGTCATTTGCCTCTAAGTGCTTTTGCTTTCGAGTGAACTCAGCTCCTAGATTCTCCAATCTTCGACACTTCATTTTCACTTCTTCTTCCTCCACTTCCCTTTAGGTAATCTCGAATGACGTCTTTATCAAATTCTGGACATGCGTGCTATGATCTTCCGAATGAGTCGGAGGGGAGCCCACCCGAACCCCTTCTCCTCTTTCTCCTTTAAGTCCTTCTGTCCTTGCTCCCCTTCGGCAAGAGGTTGAGGTGCTTCGGAAGAGGGTAGCCTCCAAGGGTGCCGAAGGCAGTCGTCGAGGCAATGACCCTCCCTGCAAGAGCACCGCATCTGTGACGCCGAGAGAGGCCGAGGGGTTCTCCCAAGTCGAGGGGGAGGAGACCCCAAACCCTATCTCTGGGACGAGGGCTGCCTAAGCAGTAGCCAAGACCGATCTCCTATGCCTAGGATTTGAAAATTCTCTAGATGGGGATCAGGTCAAGGCTCTGGCGAGGAAGTACTTCATCCCCTCGTCCTATGGTATGAGGGTGCTCAAGGTGGGCGACCGGCCGTGGACTCAAAAGGAGGGGGAGATCTGCATTTACCAACACTTTCTTCAGTTCGGTCTTTGGTTCCCCCTTCATTTGTTAATCCCTGGACTATTGAGGGCATATGGGATCACCCTTAGCCAGCTAGTGCCCAATGTCGTTAGGACCATAGTGGCAATGTTGGTGGTGGCTCGGTTCCAGGGGGTGGAATTGACGCCGAAGCTTTTTCAAGCGTTGTTTGTGCCGAGGAAGCACTCTTCCGAAGATGAGATGTACTATCTTCAATCCCGTAGGACCAAGCCTGTAGATAACCCCTCTTCCATGCATAACTGGAAGGGTAAATTTTTCTTTTTGTCTTGTCCCGAGGGCTGGTCCTTTAAGTCAAGGTGGGGAGAGGTTAGACAAGCTATGGAGAAGAGTGTCCCCCTGCTTAGAAGAGAGGAGAACGGTTGGTATAAATCAGAAAGTATGTCAACTGAAAATAATTATTGTTATATCTTTAGCTAGAGACAAAAAAAATGTTGGTGTTTCCATCTCTACCTATATCTTGGACATATATTGATGCTTTTTGAATCTATAGCGATGGAATAAATTGTCGAATTATAGTACCAATGGTCGTTTTTAGTAATGGTGGAAAATTATATGTTAATAACCTATACAAACGAAATAATAACCTATACTGAAACTTATTACTTATAAGTTTCTAGTTTATGAATATGTGTACTATTCTATCATTTTAATTTGTCATATTATATGTTATTTTCATTAATTTTTTCCTTAAACTTTGAGGCTTATGCCTTGCAACGCCTTGAAACTTATGCCTCAACTACGCACGCACACACACACACACATAGATATATATAGATATACAGATATAGATATATCGGTTTTGGTTGATCTGCACATGGTCAAACTAAAACCGACCCTAGCCTCTCAAGTTAGCATAATGGATGAACCAAATCCAACTGAAAATACTAGAAAACCAACCAGCTTGGATAGAGTTGGGTCAGGTTGGTCAATTTTATTGGTTTGATGAACATCCCTAGTTTCTCCATCTTGCTTGTATTGGGTTGATATCTTTTACACATTGACTATATTGGTGAGATTATGTAATAGAGGAACTGCAAATTGTAAACATGGCCACTAAAAGGTAAGGACCCAAGGTGATAATTAGATTCTCCATAATTGTTTCCAAGTCACTCTAGGAAAAGAAAAATGGGTAAAGGTAGATGCCTCATTATGAGTCAACACCATATAAGTTGAAGTACATGAAAGAAAAAATGTTTGAGGGCATGGACATCCAAACCAACTAATCAATTGTTTCTACAATTGAGCTCTATAACTGTATACTCTTGATAGTGGCAGTTTGGGACTCAAAAAGATGATATAAGGCTACTACCAACCAATTGCCATCATCAGGGTTAATCAAATTTTCTGCTAAGGGCCTGTTCACTTTTTAGATTTTGAGAGGAGGGAAAGTCCAAGATACCCATGTTCTTTTTTCAGATTTATGTGGGGTCCATGGAAAATTTATTTTTCCTAGGTATCATGATGAGAGTAGAATTTATCATATTTTTATCTCCGATTATTCTATCTTTTATACTAAATTAGCATATAATTGGACTCATATTTCTTGTATTTTGGTCCAGGGTATGAAAGAAGGCATCAAGAGCAAAGAAAGACAAATCGGATGATTTTTCACAGTTTCAACATCGTTCAGTGATTTGGGCCTAACTCACGTCTCCGAACTCCGAATGGGCTGATTCAAGATCCACTGGAAAGATAAGAGAAAAATTCACAACTTTCATGTTTTGGGTGTTCGCAGATTCGGCCTGCATCAAAGTCAATTCCGGGCCCGAAGTCGCGGCAAATTCATAGGAAGGCCCAATCCGCAGTTGAAGCCCAACTCGCAAAAAAGCCTGGCTGAAACCCAATTCGCAGAGGAGGTCTATTACGAATCCAAGAACAAGAAACTAAGAAGAATCCTCCTAGATTTAAATTCTTGATGTAATCTTAGAGTGATAAAGGGATTGAGTTCAAGAGATAAAGAAATAGGGTTAGAATTAGGATATGACTTTCTATTTCTTCTAAAGATCAACTTCAAGAGAAAGTAGGAAACCACCCCCTCCCCTTCAATCTATATAAAAGAGGGGGCGGACCAGCTTTAGGTATCACTGGATCACTGGATCACTGAATCATTCAATCATTCAACTTCTGATTTGAATCAAGAAGCAATGAGTAATCAGTCAAGAAAGGTTCAAGAATTCAAGAAACTTCAAGAAGATGAAATCTTAGCACCATGGGCGAATTCAAGAGTTCATTCATCCCCTTTGTTTGTTTTAATTCTTCCATAATGAACTGGTTTGTTTCTTGCTAGGGCTATGGAAAGCCTAACCATGATAATGAATATATTTTTATCTTCTTGATTCATCCAAGATTGTGATTTCCATATATTCTATGAATTATTGTGCTTAATGCAATTAAGAGCTTGACCACCTCTTAATTGATTTGGGTTATGTGAATGAATTGAGAGATGAATTTATATAATTGACAGAATAATTCATAGTGTGAATTGAATGGTATATAGAGATATATATACATGATTCATCTGAATTTAATGGTTTTCTTGGACTTAATGCACTTCCATCTTGAGAGCTCGACTCGAGAGATTGAAGGGTTACCTAATGGGGGTTTAGTATATCTCGAGAGAGAATATTAAATAAATTTGTGAAAATCTCAGCTTATGGGAATAACAATTAGTCTTGGATAATCGGACCCATCAGTATTCATTACATTGGCTAGGTGGACCAAAAGTCCTAGCGATTTCATCATTTGCATATTCGATTAGTGATCACCCTTGTTTTTATTTTCTTTGTTCCAGTTTTATTTTCAGTAGTTCTTGCTCAATCCTAAATTTCGATTGTCTAAATAATTAGGGAAAACTGTGATTCTAATACTTATTTTGTTAAATCCCCGTGGGAACGATATTATTATACTACTTGATAACTAGTGCACTTGCTAGGGTTATATATTTATAGCTATCATATCATTTACTCGTTTAAGTCGTACCCATATCCCAGGTGGATAAGTAATTTTTCCACCTAGGGGGAAAATTGCCAACACTTGGATTGGACAAAATTGCCCCTTTAAATAATGGTTTTTTATGGTTAAAATGATCATTGTCTTATTAAGTAAATGCATTTACCTGAGTAAGTAACTTCCTAAAAAGTGAATGGGGCCTAAGGGTCGTTGCTAAGGAGAGCATATTTCTTATATTTGGAGCGAAATGATACCTTAGACTTTTACTTTATAATAAGAGAACTCCTATCCAGAATTTATCACAATTAACGAGGGGTATTATGCAAACACATCTTTGATTATAATATTGGTAGTGGGTTGATTGGTTAATTGAGGTTAAAATCTTAGAATCTTTTAATCTCTTTTCCAGTCAATTCTTGTGTTCTCTTTCTCCCCAACCCTTTCTCCTTTATCCCCCTCCCTCTCTTCTTTTTCTTCTTGTTGCCTTACATTTTTGTTCTACTGTGATTGCCTTATTTACCATCATGAAATACATTCATCTCCCTATTGCTCCTAATTAGAGCTCACTCCTATATATAGCCAATTAAGCTTTGCCAAATAGGTGAATGATTCTCAGTAACATGAGCACTCTAATAGTTATTAACACCATTGTGAAGGTATTTGCTAGAAAGTAGTCTACATCAAAGTTTACTTACTCAGCTCAAGTAGGAAGCCCCTAGATTCATGACATGAGCTTTGCTTTTAAGAGCCATATCTTGAAGCCCAAACCTCCCCAGTCTTTAGGAATCAAGAAAGAAGACCATGGCTTTATGTAAATATGTCGCCCTTCAGAGGTGAATCCCCACCAAAAGTCATGAACTTTAGTAGGTAGCTTTTTACACACTCCCATAAGAGAAGATCATGTGTTAATTCCCCCATTAAATAAGCAGGTATTAATGCAATAGTGGACTTTGCACTTCGACTGCATGAGAAAGGCAAGCATGCTTCATCCCTTTCATTTGGATTGGATCTTCTCAAGCAAAAAACTCCACCCCTTAGTGCTTTGGTAATCGACCAAAATGAATTTGCATCGATGCCCCACAGCATATCCCAATCGTGTATTGGGAACATCTGTCAATGACAAGTACGGGAGATGTTCCCAGTGCATGCTGAGATATGTACGTGGGGCACTTGTGGGCAGGCTGCGCTCTGTGGGGCGCCAATGTGAACTCGATTAAAATAGGGCTTCTATGATAGCAGTCGACCTTGGTCATGACATGTTCTCCTATTTGATGAGTTAAGAGATTTGGATGCATTCCATGATGAACATTCTTACTGAAGAAGATCAAAGACTAATCAAAATTGATTTTCTGTCCAAAGAGCATTCCAATAATGAGCAAGAGAGTCTTTAACTTCTTGTAGCTCGAAAGGATTGCATTTACCAAACACCCCCTAGTTTGTATATACCAAACATCAAAACTCAATGACAACACAACACCACTGTACCAAACACCCCCTAGTTTGTAAAAGATATTGTTCTTTGAAATGGGTGTTTTTTTTTGTCATTGTTATTAACTTAGAAATCTCAAATGGAAATTTTTCTAATTTCACTTTTGCCATTAACCCCATTGATCAAGGACAAATTACTGGAATTCAGTAGTACTGCAGGGGGTATTTGTCACAAAACAAAGTTTGAAAGGTTAATTGTCATTACCCCTAAGTAGGTAAGGGGAGTGTAGTTTATCCAAACTTATTCACCATTTCAGCTGTTATCAAACATCCCTCAGAGAGAAAACCTGTTGAATGATCTGGGTGTGTTATTGGGGGAATCACGTATTTATGTAATAAAAGTATAATAAAACCTTGACTTGTTCGGTTGAATGGTCTCACATTAACCAGATAAGAGAAAGATCAATGGAAATGAGAGAGAAAACCTGTTGAATGATTTGGGTGTGTTATTGGGGGAATCACGTATTTATGTAATAAAAGTACAATATACTTGATTTTATGTTTAAACTTGGGAACAAAGAATAACAGGGTCCAGTCAAACGAGTCATCCAACGGTTTAACTGGATGGTTTCACATCAAGGGCTTATTTTTGTTGAACCCAATGGCTGAACCAATAAATTAATAATTAGTGACCGGTGAGCCTTTTGGCCAGATATCGCTGGTTTTTTGTTGGTTTGCATGAGCTGAACAATTTGATCAATAATTAACAATCAAAACTGTGATCCACGCTTTTTAGATGATGTTTGGCATCATGATGAATCTTTCTTACTATTTTTTCAAAAATCGACGAATTTTGAAATCAATGTTTTTCAAAAATTGGTAAATTTTGTTATTTGGTATCATTTTTGCCATGTAAGTCAATTTTTGAAAAATCAACTTTGATTTTGTTTGGTAATGATTCTCAAGGCCAATTTGTCCCTTCTTGTAGGGGTGCTCATGACCAAACTGTGGGCCTTTTTTTTTTTGTAATCAAACTGGTACTACCGGTTTTTGAAAAACCAGTAACCAAAACCGAATTGAAGCCAATCGGTTAATTGTCAGTTCGATTTGTCAATATTTTGGTTTTTTAATTTTTATAATATATATTATAAAAGTATTTATAAATATATAATAAAAAATTATAAAAATATATAAAATATTATAATTTAAATAATAAATTATATATCATATATTATAAATATATATTTATATATAATGCATATTTAATAATTTATAATATATAAAAAAATAATATATATATATCAATTGGTTTGGTTAACTGCCGGTTTTTTATATTAGTTAGCTGAAACCAAATCGACCAATTCGGTTAACTGATTTTTCGATTCGATTTTGATCGGTTTTTTCAATCAGTCCCATTTTTTTCTCACCCTTACCATATTGGATGTCATATCATCCTCAAAAAATCAGAATTAGCTAGAAATCAGAAAATCACCAAGAATGTTCCTTGAAAATGGCTGATTTCAAGAATTGATTTTTGGTCATAAAATCACCAAAATTGACCAAGTAAACATAAATTTCAACGCAGATTCCTCCTGATGTTGCTCCAATATGACGGTGATTTTCAAGAAACCATCGTCCATCCCAAACATGAGTTCACTTTCGCTCATTCAAGGACGGGCGAAAGCATCCGTCCCAAGATTTTTATTGGGCCACCTGGATCTATTAATACGCCAAACATCACCTTAGTTTTTCACCTGGTCACCCCAACCCTAGCATTGACAAAGGAAAAGAAACAAAACATCCAACCGAAAAATGAAAAAACCAGCTGATCACCCAGGTTTTGAATTTAAAACAGTATGGTGCATGCAATGGGTTTCTAATTGGTTAAATATTTCGGGGTACCATACTTTATCCAAATTCATAGTCGATGTCACAATTCCGTTTGTTTTACGTTCAAACACCTGGTGGTTGATGCATGGCAAGAATTTTGTGCGACCACGGTTGATTGACCAACTCAATCGCAGCCCAAGAAGTTCATCACTCTCTCTCTCTCTGTTCAATCATGTTGACATTCAGTAAACGCGGATGTCGACATGGATCATGGAAGCTTGACCAACATAGGAAAGAATTAAGAAAGCGTACTTCCATTCTGAACATCTCTATATTATGGCAGCTCTCTCAGTCTCAGGAGTGACAAGTAATCTGTTTTGTAAATCTTTCTCCCTCCTTCAAAGAAGGAAGGTATAGGAGTGTAGGACCTTCGGCCTACGTTATCCATGACATAAGCTTCTGAAGGAGAAGGAACCAGGAAAGAAAATGATTTTTTTTTTTTTCTAACACGAAGCAGAGAAAAGTCTGTTGAATGCGAAGTTAGCTAGATCTATAAAAGCCACCAGTCGACAAAGCTAATTAATCAATTTCGATCTAGTCCCAATTAAGCCTGGAAATCGTTGCTTCGTCGTCTCACTTTCTCTCTGTCACGCAGCATGGGCACAGATGATAAGCAACTTCATGTGTTCTTCTTTCCATTCATGGCACCAGGCCGCTTGCTTCCCATGGTGGACATGGCCAGACTCTTCGCTGCTCGTGGCGTGAAGGCAACCATAATCACAACTGCTCTTAACCTCTCCCGCTTCCAAGCCATCATCGACCGAGACATTCAATCCGGCCTCCAAATCCAAGTACACACAGTCGAACTTCCCTTCTCCGACGCCGGCATACCTGAAGGATGCGAGAACGTCGACACCCTCCCTTCTCGGGATCTGCTCAACTTCAGCAAAGCAGCCGCGTTGCTTCAACCACAGTTTGAGAAGCTCGTCGAGCACCACCTTCCTGATGCCATCATCTCCGACATGAACTTCACATGGACAGTCGACATTGCCCACAAGCACCACATCCCACGTCTAGAGTTCAATGGCTTCTCTTGCTTCTCCCTCTGCGTAACAGATTCCATCAACCGCTATACGCCCCATATACATGCAGCTTCTGAGTCGGAACCCTTCCTGGTTTCTAGCCTGCCCGACCCTCTTTACCTGACCCAAGCACAGCTCGTGGAGCGATTTGTACCGGGTGCACGAGATTTCCTTCAGAAAATGCAAGCAGAAATCGATCGATACACCTCCGACGTTGTAATCAACAGCTTTTACGAGCTGGAGCCCGATTATATCGAACACTATCAGAAGACAAGCGGGAAGAAGACATGGATGCTAGGGCCTGTCTCACTATGTAACAAAGATTCATTAAGCAAAGCCGAGAGAGGAAAGAAAGCTTCAATCAGTCAGGAGTGGTGTCTCTCATGGCTCGACTCCAGAAAACCCAACTCAGTTCTCTATGTTAGCTTTGGTAGTGTGTGTAAGTTCCCAAAGTCACAGCTGAAGGAGATCGGGTTGGGTCTCGAAGCTTCAAACCAGAATTTCATTTGGGTTATCAGAGATGTGGACGCAGGAGGATTGCCGGAGGGATTTGAAGAGAGGATACAGGGGAGAGGACTAATCATCAGGGGGTGGGCTCCGCAGGTTCTCATCCTAGAACACCCGGCAATCGGAGGGTTCATGACACACTGTGGATGGAACTCGACTCTGGAAGCGGTTAGCGCAGGTCAGCCATTGATAACGTGGCCGCTCTTTGCTGAGCAGTTTTACAACGAGAAGTTTGTGTTGCAGCGGTTGAAGATCGGGATCAGCATCGGCGTTGAAACTGGGTTCGTGTGGGGTGAAGAGGAGAGGACCGGCGCTTTGGTGAAGAGAGAGAAGGTGGAGGAGGTGGTGACCCGGCTGATGGGTGGTGGTGGGGAGGTGGAAGGGATGAGGAAGCAAGCAAAGAAACTTGGGGAGATGGCCAAGCTGGCCGCCGGAGAGGGCGGGTCGTCCAATACCAACATAAGCCTTCTGATCGAGCATCTCAAGAACCAAAAACGTCTGAGAAAGATTGGCTAGAGTTGGACACATGGAAATCATGGATTGTCTTGTGACCATATATAATAGTATTTGATTGATATGATGTATTGTTAATATATATCTTCATTGATAAGCAAAATTGGATGCATTTTTTGTTTTTTGTTTTTTTGCTTTTTTGGTATTATATATACCACTACTTGATGGAGTGTAATTTGTTCCCCTTTCTCATTTTGTTTTGATTATGACAATTAATAAGGCATTTTGTTAATGGTGATATAGCTAGGGACTTCACATGTCTCAGTCAGTCTAGGTTTTGTTTGGAAGCTGAGGGCCCATGCTTTATTTTTGTCCAGGCTTGCACAAGAAATAAAATCCATTTCTTGCCCAAGTGCAACATGTCCAAAAGATCCCTTTGCACTTGGGCAACAAAGAATTTAACTCAACATAGAAATAAGTGGAAAAAATACGTATAGTAAAGGCAATTTTAAATGATGTATTGGCATATGCTTTGGATACATATACATATGGATATAATGGAAAATTTATGATATATATCAATATGATAGAAAACTCAAATGAATCGCAAAATATATATTAATCTCCCCAGAAGTTTTTGGTAATTGCAAATCATTTTCCTTAAATTAATCTTTTAAAAGGAGGTAAAATTGGACTTTGGATTTTGATATACCCTGATTTGAATTCATTCCGATCCATTTGTATCTCCTGGGGCCTCACTTTGAATGGGCTAGGTTTTTTTTGACGATAAATGAGGACAGGTGGAATATTTTTTTCCCAAATTGGGGACATGTTTTGTATATAATTCCTTGAACCCACCCCAAACATGATGGTAATTTAGTAAAACATCCCTAGGTTTAATATTAACTTTTAAAATATCTCTAAATTTTTCTTAAATTCTTAAAATCCTAAGATCCCATTATTTCATTTTTAAATTACTCCAAAATATTATAATTCAATTACTAAAATATTTCTAAATTTCCATAATTTTATCTATAAATTATTCATAAAATAGATAATTTTTAGATAATTACCTTATAAAATTGGAGATTCCCCATCGGGATGGGGAATGGATGCGCCGCCCCGAACCCGCCCCGTTACCATTCCTTTATTAATTCCCCGCCTCATAACCCACCCGCGGACCAATCATGAAAAACCGGGGTCGAACCAATCTAACTCGTACAGCCCTACGGCAGCTCCACAGGCAATGGGAGTATAGGACTCTGATATGTAGTAGTACTCTGCAGCTTCGACGCTCAGAAACGAGAAACAACCGAAACGTTTGAAAGCCGCAAGGAGAAAGCTCCCTGCAACCATCAGGAATGTCTTTGGTCTTCTCTTCTCCAGTTTTCTCCAATAGAAGAGTTTTCTTTCCCGTAAGTTAAGCCTTTCCTTTTCTTCACTTAATGGGGTTCTATTTTCGTCAAAGGCGTAATTTTGTTTTCTTGGATTGTACGCTTGTAAACGATACTCACTGCTGCAGCAGTTCAGTCGAACGAAGAGGATTGCTAGGTTATCGAGAAATCTACAGTTGGGTAGAACTTTTACTGTAAGAGCTGGGCCAAAGAGGATATCTTTTGGTAAAGATTGCAGAGAAGCTCTACAAGCTGGGATTGATAAGCTAGCTGATGCTGTTTCTGTTACCTTAGGACCGAAAGGTATGCGAATTTTTTGTTGTGGACAAGTTATCTGGTACTAAACATCCCCTGTATACTGAGGAATATGTTTCTGGGTAAGCCTAAATGTTTCTAAACATCCACTGTCATTCGGCTAGTCTATCTCCCGCATTTGCATTGTATCAATGCTTGGTATGATGTGAGGTTCTTTCATCTTCCATCATTTGGACCTCCAAGATGAAATAATCTGGAATGTTACAAAAGATGGCCTTCCTTACTAAATTCGACCGTGTATGTATTTTTTTCCTGGGCATAAGACATCAAAGAATCTAAAAATGGTGCTCTTTCTAGAGAAAACGCGTACATCTTCCTTTAAGATTTCCTTTGTCTGGAACTGTCTTGGCAGTTGGCACCTTTGGTTACTCGTCTTTCTGAGTGGAGGGCTGGGTTGGGAATGTCCACCAGATGTTCTTGATATTCATAGAATGAATTAGAAAGTATATTCTAAAGAGCGTTTTTTTTTGTTTTTTGTTTTTTGTGGTGATGCTTGTGCTGATTGAGAAAAAAATGTTTATTCTGCTTGTAGTTATACAATATGCAATTTTGAAGGCTATTGCTTGGCCGTTGATGGGTTTAGCCAAAGCAATGAATCTTTGTTTTCCTTGGTAATGTCAAGTTTTATTGAAAAATGAAAATGAATACCATGGGAGGTGAGACAGCAAAGAGAGGAAAAAGTGTCATTCATTGTGTTGTAGTATTAAACTAAAAATTAAATGTTATAGCTATACAAAATGTTTTCCCTTCTTGTAGTTATACAAAATGCAATTTTGAAGGCTATTGCCAGGTACGCTGGATGGTTTTAGCCAAAGCAATGAATCTTTTTTCCTTGGTAATATCAGGTTTTGTTGAAAAATGAAAATAAATACTATGGGAGGTGGAGCAGTTCATTGGGTTGGAGTATTAAACTACAAATTAAATGTTTTTAGTTTAATACAAATTATATCAAGTGTTGAAAATAAAAAAAAAACCTACAAATTAAATGTATAGCCATACAAAATGTTTGTTCTGGTTCTAGTTATACAAAATGCAATTTTGAAGGCTATTGCCAGGTACTGTGGGTGGTTCTCACCAAAGCAATGAATCTTTCTTTTCCATGGTAATGCCAAATTTTGTTGAAAAATGAAAATGAATACCATGGGAGGTGAGGCAGAAAAGAGAGGGAAAATGAATACCATGGGAGGAGATGCTCATTAAAGAGTTCATCTCAAAGGATATTTGTAAATGTATGATAATCATCAATGCCATTTCTCTGAGTGTTTGGCAGATAACCAGGGACAATGAATAAATTGGTCTTTCATTGAACTGTGCAGGACTGAATGTTGTTCTTGATGAACCTGGAACGTTAAAAGTTGTTAATGATGGGGTGACAGTTGCTCAGGCCATTGAGCTTTCAGATCCGATCGAAAATGCAGGAGCTATGCTCATTCAAGAGGTCATTTTTTCTTACCCATATTTCTTTTCTCTCTGATTATACTACTTCAATTGGGATAGAAATAATTCCAGTTTTTGTAAATTTTAAAGAAAAAAGTTTTTCTAATCAGATCAAGTAGAAAGCTTCCCTACACATCTTTTTCTATTTCTGCCATGTAGTTGGATGATGTGGTCAATCGCAACCATCCACCAAGTAGGGAACCTTCTGGATTGGCTACATATCTTATCTTCTAGTCCACTTGACCCTATACCCCACCTTGTGTAGGTGGTTTTCCTAACTTGTCTTAGCTGCTCAAGATTTTAAATTTTCATAAAACTTTCCGAAAAAAAAGGGTTTATTTTGAGCATATGGTAAGGTCTTTTGGGCTGAAGTTCATCCCATGATTATAGAATGGGGATCAGTTGGACTTCAAACTCATTTTCCAGATGCATGATTCCCAGGCAATTTCACAAACTTTCCTAAACGATTCAACTAGAAAAAATGTTCCCAATTTTAAATGGCAGAATTACAGGTTGCACGTAAGACAAATGATTCAGCTGGTGATGGTACTACAACTGCAATAATTTTAGCTCGAGAAATGATCAAATCTGGATTGTTGGCTGTTGCTTCTGGGGCTAACCCGGTTTCTTTGAAGAGAGGAATGGACAAAACTGTGAAAGAACTAGTGAAGATCTTGAAGAATAAATGCATTCCAGTAAAGAAGAGGGAGGATATAAAAGGTTACCACTTCTAAATTGCTTCTTCTTCTTCTCAGAGGAGCACCATTTGGATTATGGATATTCTGATCCTTATTTTTTTCTTTTACCAGCTGTGGCTTCAATTTCTTCTGGAAATGATGATTTCATTGGGAATTTAATTGCCGATGCTATAGACAAGATTGGACCTGATGGAGTGATATCCATTGAATCATCTTCGTCATGTGAAACTACTCTTATAGTTGAAGAAGGAATGAAGGTAATCTAAAGGATTTTTGATGAGGTACTGCCTATACAGTTACTCCAAGAAACCATCTGATAAACAGCATTGCAATAGATATGGAAAACATGTATAGTTGTATGATAGATATGTCTGTAGGGATCAAGCTTGCCTCAACTGGTTGATCTTGACACTAACTTCTTTCCATTTCATTCAATATAGTTTTGGAACATCCAGAAGAATAGATTGAATAATATTACTACATATTCTCTTGGGATGAGGGGATATTGAATATTTGAACTGAGTCCCAGTGTTTGCATGTCGGGTATATATAACACAGCAATAAACCATCCTTAAGCTCTGCATGGCATACTCGGTTACCTTAAATTAGGAATACTCTTTCTACTGATTCTTATACATTTTTTTAATGTCCTTTCTCTACAGATTGACAAGGGTTACATGTCACCCCTATTTATTACAAACCAAGATAAATCAATTGTGGAGTTTGAGAATGCTAAAGTCCTAGTAACTGATCAAAAGATCTCAACCATCAAAGAGCTTGTTCCTTTACTAGAAAAGACAACCCAGCTCAGTGTTCCACTATTAATTATTGCTGAGGATATCTCAAGGCAAGTTCTGGAAACACTAATTTTGAACAAAACACGAGGTATAATCAATGTTGCTGTCATCAAATGTCCTGGATTTGGAGAAGGAAAGAAAGCTCTTTTGCAAGATATTGCACTTTTGACAGGTGAATAAGCTTGCTGCACTTGGTAACCTGCTTCCAGAAATTCAGTTTTCCATAAAAAGCTTGATTTCAAGCATTGCATTAGATGTCCTTACTTTTGTATATCCACTTGCCTATTTGTGGATGGTTATACTAGTCTTGTGGTGCGTGCTCATGGGCTGAGATGCCCCCTGAATGAATTCCATCTGGTAGAAAACCATAACCTGAAATTCAACTTGATTGAGTGATCTCGGTGATCCATTTTTTTCACTTTTTCTTTAGAATAGTATTATTAATGCTTTAAAAAATAAAAAAACCCTAAAAATTTTATGACTTGAGCTATTCAATTGGGCCATAGGCATGAGAGATTTTCCAGGTGAAGCCATAGGCATAACTATTGGTCAAATCCTCTTCGTGTACATTTGCATGTACTATCAAACTGAACATTGAGTTTGTTGGTACCGAGTACAACTTCTGGTCTTGTTTTCTGACATCAGTGGTAACAATTTCAGGGGCTGATTTTCTTGCTGGGGACTTGGGCCTGACACTTGAAGGTGCAACTTCTGATCAGCTTGGTATTGCACTAAAGGTTACTATAACTAGTAATTCAACAACTATTGTTGCTGATCCTACCACTAAAGCTGAAATTCAAGCAAGGATTGCACAGATAAAGAAAGATCTTGCTGAAACAGATAGCACATATCAATCAAGGAAGCTCTCTGAAAGAATTGCAAAGCTCTCCAGTGGTGTGGCTGTAATCAAGGTGTGCAATGCAAGAGGTGCCATTAATAAATAATAATTAATTGATTATGGATAAGATTGTGGTTCCTTCCACTAGTATGCCATGATACATTTTGGTGGTTCTTGTGCAGATCTCTTATCTTTATCTTTTTTTTTTGTACTTTAGATGTTTGTATATTAACAAAATCACTTGTAAACTATCTAATCATAAAAGAAGGTTATAGTTCAATCTATACCAAGCAGGTCACATAATAGATTCAGATTGTGGATCACCAATACCTCAATCATGGAAAGAAGACCATGCACTGCAACAAACTGCAGAAACCACCTTCAAAGAGCACTGTCAATAGCTGACCCTTAGTTAATTGAGGGGTCAGTTGTCAGAGACTCAGAATAAAGTCCCAAAAACTGAGATAAAGATCATTTATCGAAAAAAAAACTGAGATAAAGATGGGTGGTAAATATTAATGAGAAAAAATCCACTGAAAATCCAAACCTGCTCTAAAAAATATGGGGATTTGGCTGTCAACCCATAAACTTCATACAAACTGAAATCTGCTGATCCTATTCTCTATATCCTCATTATGAAAACGTACAAGTTACAAAACGGATAACCCAAACTTAAAATGAGTTCACATTTATCCCTAGATAAACCCTATAAATTATTCTTAACCTGAAGCCAAGGTTCTTATAATCAACATGTCAGCCAGTTATGTCAGCAGGGCTTTCTCAAGGTTGAGCTCCACAGAAGAAAAGTCAGGAGGGGAGTTGGAGCAAATGAAAGACCAGGGTCAATTGACCCTGTCCATATACAAAAAATCCAATCTTTTGCATCTCTCTTTTCTTTTTTATGAATTAATGTTTGTTTTCTGATAAAAAAACAAAAATCACAAAAATTATCCCACGTAATTCCTCCTTTATATTATTGAAGTTTAAACATTCCAATCTATGATACCCATCATCTTGTACTTCTGGACACCAGAACCACTAGATGTAGGAAGATTGTTGAAAAAAGATTCATTTTACCTTCAACACCCTTCCTCCCAAACAGTGAGGGAGTGGGACAGTATTTTGCCTATACAACAAGATTTAAGTTATTTGAAGCCTAGCTTATACAAGGTATAATGAAATTCCTAGTTGTTATTTCCCCTTAAATCCAAAAATTTGGGACTGTATCTCACCCACACCAGGTCATTTTACCCTGTTAAGCTGTTAATATGATTCTGAATAATTGCCCTGAAATTTAGGTAGGGGCACACACTGAGACAGAGCTTGAAGATCGGAAGCTTAGAATTGAGGATGCAAAGCATGCTACATTTGCTGCCATGGACGAAGGTATAGCACCTGGTGGTGGAGCTACTTATGTGCACCTCTCAAAGCAGATTCCCATCATTAAGGATTTGATGGAAGATCCAGAAGAGCAGATTGGTGCTGATATTATAGGAAAGGTACTCTGAGCTATTGTTCCTTTTTTTTTTTCCCAAATACTAGATCCATGAATGCTACATCTGAATTTGGAAGATTTTGTTTTGGTTAATACAAATTTAAGGTGCTATCCTAACTTCTAGCAGGTTGTACATGAAATGGCTTTCCCCTAGTTAGATACACCATACTTACTAGACAGGAATGCTTATATTGGTACACACACACACACACACACACATATATATATATGTATATATATATATATTTGAGTTATTTATTTTTTCCTTCTTAAGAGTGAGGGTACAAAAGATCCAATCAAATTTATAGGTTTAGGGGTGAATTTCACTTCTTGTTTAGTCAATACAAATCTAACATGGTTGCCTCATCACAGTTATATGATCTAATCCTAACTAATTGAGCATAACCCGGAAATATGGTTATATATGTACACAATGATACTATGCATCTCATTCATTTTATTACAATGCATAATATAAACTCCCCACACTTCCTGCTCAAATATTTCTTATAATATGAAAGCCTACTTAAACATGATGCATGGTACTTCTTTAAGATTGATACTGGTGCCTATATTTATTTTTAAACCAAAACAACATTTTTACTTGGAAAGGCCTGTTTACCTTTCTGAATTTTAGTAATAGTTAATGGCCTTTCATCGTTTTTTTAGTTAGAAATCTGGCTTCACTTCTTCTTCTGGGCACTCATTTATTTATTTATATTTTTAAACTTTTCTTGGGATTGGGGGTAGATTGATTCACTGATACGTATGTGGAAAGAGGTCCTGACACAATATGTGTTGTTAACAAGGTTCGAAGTATCAACACATATCGGCCCGTATCGGCTGATATGTATCATTCCGGCACCCCACCGATACACCCCTACAGTGGTTGTATCGGTGGTCTGACCTGTTCAAGGTGTGGCGAAGACCTAAACCGGCTCCCTTGAACCAGTTGGCGGAAAAAAAAAACAACCAAAAGGAGTATCGATTTGCCCGATACACCCATACCGGTGTATCGGGCGTATCGATATTTTGAACCTTGGTTGTTAATGACTGCAATAGTGATAAGGGCTGATACATTTTCCATTTGAAGACTCTAAGAAACAAAGGCATGTTTTGGGGTAGATTTGCAACAAAAGAAACCCGTGCGGCGTTCGGGCCATGTGTGGCCAGGACAAGCTCGATGTGTGTGTAAGGGCCATGTGCAGCCCAATGAATGTCTCCACCAAGGTCAGTGGCATTGGATCATGACCTCATTGTGCATGGCTGGGGCTATTTGTGGCTCTTGTTGGTCCATGGGAGGCGCCTCTTACATGCCAATGGGGGAAGGCCATGATGAGAGGCGACTATGGCGCTGATGATGCGAGGCACATGTTGTGCCGATGATGTAAGTCAACCGCTGGGCTTGAGAACACATCCATGCGTTGTGGGAAACGGGGTAGCTCAATTAGCTTAGACGTGGGGCTGGCGTGGTGAAGGGTCATGCTTGGGCCAGACCCACATGCAAAGCCTCCCCTCAATGTTCATGGTGCAGTATCGGTCCATGCACTGTCCCCATGAGTGTGTGTGTGTGTGTGTGTGTGTGTGTGCCCATGAGGAACCTTGGTAGCCATGCTAGCCATTAACCAGGGCCACCCCACAAGGGATGTTGGTCTAAGAGTGCCAAGGTTAGTCACCCAAGTAGGTCGACCACCCCTCCTCAAAGAGTATGTTAAGCTTTTGGAGGTCTACTAGTAAGAAACATCACTTTTCTGAAAAATCATACTAGCATATTTACAATATTGCCACTCAACGTATTCCTGCCAAGCGTAGGCAAGGCTAAGCCTGTGTCAGGCCGTGACATAATGGCAGGAGGTAGAAAGTGTAGCTACCCCCAAATAGTGTTTTTTTTTTTTCTTGTTTCCCCTCGAGGAAAAAGGTAATGTGTTGTATTAAGGGTGAGCATTGTTCAGTTAAAACCAAAAAACTGAGCCTACAGTTTCGGTTTTTCTGGTTCAGTTATTTTGGTTTTGGACATTTCAATGATTGGTCTTGGTTTTTAGATTTGAAAATTCGGCTAACTGAATAATGAAATTTGGTTTTAATTGAAATAATTGAATAGGAATTTTGGATCGGTTGTTTCAGTATTCCTTAATTTGGTTTTCATTTTGGTTTTCCCTTTTAAGAATTTGGCTAATTTGGCTCGTTTTTAACCAAATAAACTGAATGGTCAACCCTAATTAAGATAATCCATGTATAAAAAGGCATGTATACTGAATTGCTATACAATTGATTCACTTAGACATATGAAGAAAGAGGTCCTGACACGGTATGTGTTGTTAACCAGTGAAGTGATAAGGGCTGATGCGTTTGCAATTAGAAGACACTAAGAAACATAGACATGTTTTGAGGTACTGAGCTGTCTGATGACTTTTATTTAAAGAGGAATGGCACGAGGGAAGAAGTGCAGCTGTCCCCAAATAGTTGTTTATTTTTTAATTTTAAGATAATTAAGATAATTCATGTGCAGTGAATTGCTACTTGATATACAATATATGCCTAATACACAAAATCATTAGGCTCAGTTATCTTTCTTATCAAAAACATTGTCGCCAAATCAAAAAAAGCTTCATGGGGAATGTCTTTGAAGATCTCCAGCACTGATAACCAAGAGTATAGTTGCACCCTTTACTTTTCTGGTCAGCTCATCCATGGAGCTGGATTTGTTCTCAAAGATTCTGCAGTTTCTTTCTCTCCAAATACATAAGTTACTGCTACTGGTATTGTGATTTGTGACCCATAGTGTTCTGCCCCTTCTGCCCTTTATTTATTTATTTATTGATCAGCAAAGGTAACTTTTATTAATCATTATGAGAAAGATGAGCTTACAAATTTGCGGGTAGTTTACCCACACCCATAATGTAAATAGATACAACTAGAGATGTAATCCCCAAAATTCAGCCTTACAATATAGCCCAAAATAAGTATTGCCTGTTTGCCCCCTGTTTAGCTAATGTATCTGCCGTACCATTTGCAGTACTTCTCTAATCCTTTGGCTGTATACCCAAGGGGTTTGGCAATGAAAATTTGTCCAGGAAATCACCACCTGAGAGTCCCCTTCCACTTCTCCTGTCAGTGAGTCCCTTTGCCCTACAGGACCCGAGTAGAGTACTAGTACCTCACCTCCTGAACCTCGGAATACACCCCCTAAACCAGCCTGTCCTTGTGCCCTTTATTTTTCATCCCAGCAAGTGTTCCTTCAATGAGTTTGGATGACACCAACACAGATTCAATACTTTGGATGAAAGGTTTTACATCTCTCTTGTCATGGGCATTTAAGAAATAAATGGACTGCTGTTTCCTTCTCAGTACACAATACACAACAAGATTCAGGTAGGTTAAGCCCCCTTCTCTCCAGGCTCACTTGTCAAACATTTATCCAATACTTCTCTCCAAAATAACCGTCCTGTTAAGCCCATCCCCTAGTACAAAAAGCTCCAGCAATTCAACTTTTAGGTAGATGAGAACAAAATTAATTATTATATAATATAGATTTGAGTCAAATTAGTAAACCATATGAAGGGAAGTTAAAAAGAAAGCGAGTGAATTTGAATTTAAGGCATATGATGAACTATATCATAAATTAAAATTCTTTAGCTCCCCTGTTTTTTTGTAACCTTATTATTATTTAATGAAATCTGTTGTTATTGATAAAAAAAAGACTATATCATAAATTAGGCACTAAAAGGAGAGAAAGGAAATTGACAAAATGAGAGAAAGAAAAGGCAGAGATTTAAATCAAGTTAGATGCATTAAAGTGGAAGATCAAAGGGTCTTGATAAAAGATTAGAAAATTAAGAAAAAGATAAAAAAAACTATTTTGAAAAATTATTAAATGAAAATCATGTAGAGGCTGCTACTGGAGGAGGAGTTACTCTAAATCTCTAATAATATTAAAGTAACATACACCTTCGTAATTTACAAAGTTTGTAGGGCTACGTGTCAGTACCCCCAAAGTACAGGGTGGCAGTTTATAATTTGTCCTAACTTTTATTGTTTCCCGCTTTAGAAATTTCTACATATTGTAGGACATATAAGCACTAAACTAATTTCCTAATCACTTCATACAGTCATATAATCTTAGACAAACCCTCATTCCCCTTCTCTATACCTATCTATGTAGCCCCTTAACCCCTAACCCCAAAGTACAGGGTGGCAGTTTATAATTTGTCCTAACTTTTATTGTTTCCCGCTTTAGAAATTTCTACATATTGTAGGACATATAAGCACTAAACTAGTTTCCTAATCACTTCATACAGTCATATAATCTTAGACAAACCCTCATTCCCCTTCTCTATACCTATCTATATAGCCCCTTAACCCCAAACTTTGGACCTAACCCCTTACTCTTATCACTTATTTTTAAATTCCCCTCAAATTTTTTACCAGTTCAGCCTTGTATCACATCAGCTACATCAAATTATTATCAGAGAAGGCAGTCCTAAATCCTGTCTTTGTAAGTAGCCCTAGAAGAATCCATATCAAACCTTGATAATCATATTACCAAAAGTATAATCAAACTCAATCCAAGGATCAGTTTCTAGAAGATAATTGCAACCCTAAACATATTGTACAAGAGGTCACCCTTAAATGGACTTGATAGAAAGTAGAAAAATAGGGGCACTCACTCCAAAAGGCCCTAGAGCTCCTTAAAACTAAAGTTGCCCACTATGTTATGGTCCATGGAAATTAGAAATACATGTGTGCCAAAACAAATTCCAGCCAGTAATGCTGAACAAGAAATCTCTCTGGTTCTTTACTTTTGGTAAAACAGACTCCTTTTTTGAGATGAACCAACTTTCAATTGATTCTCCATAAATCATCTAAAACAACAAACTATGATGACTTGATCTATTTCTTTAATACTCCAATCAGTAGCTAACAGACCATGAATTCATCCCTGAAGCACTGCAGAAAAAAATGGCACTAAAATAAAGGAGAAGAGGTGGACACTTGCTCTCAACAAGGCATGTCATCATTCGGAAAACAATCTCTAGTGAGCATGGTCAAGATTGAAGCCGATCTCTAATTTTCCTTTGAATTTCGTGAACCATAGGATACCTTTGTAGTCATTAAAAAAATTCTGAAAAGTTTTCCAAAAATCTTCTGAAGAGGTTTTGTGAACCATGGATAGGAAGAGGTTTAAGCAAAAGAGGGAAAATTTTATGCCAATTTGCTGCTCATGCTATATTTTGGAGCATTTGGGAAGAGATAAATAATCAGGCGTTTAATAACAGAACAAAAAACTGTGAGGAGCTTATTTCTCTAATCTGTTATAGATGCTTCCTGTGGACTTCCAGCTTAAATTATTTCAGAGGTGTCACATTTGCTGACCTCCAAAGAAATGCCGTAAATTTTCTTCACTCTAATCACATACACCTCAACACTTCTTGCAACTTTAGATTTGCTGAGGAAGGGGATGTTAGACAGTTATGCCCTTAGCTCCAATCAGATTGATGTATCTTTTGACATTTATTGTAAATGAATAAAGTACATAATTGATTCATGTCATTGTGGTGTGTTTCTACGTAATACCCTTAAATTGGACATTTATGAGACTCGTGTTAGTTTAGAATCTTCACAGCCATTGGATAGATCTGGGGAGATTTATCCTTTCAAGGCTGACACTGATGTACCGCCAAGTTGGTTGGGGTGGCTTGTCTCAGCTGCCAGGGTGAGACCTGAGGTACATGTAGTGTGAGTTTTCTTAAAACCCTGAATCGGACCAAACATCCAGTATTGCCCTGGACCTTGGAAATAGATGGGCAAAATTGGAATGTTACACCTGACCCCTATACTCGATTATGGTACTGTACTAGGTGTTGGATTGGTTTGTCTTTGACATGCCAATCAGTGAGATCCTTGGAGGGGGTCAAAACCTGGGTATGTTGGGACAGTCCGAGAATTCATCTGAGTGGGTAATCATAGTGACTGGATCAGCCCCTTTGTTGGACAAAGTGAATGATCGGGGGTGCACTCTCTCTGATGGAAATCTAAACTGCCGGCAGTTGATTTCCACCGTTGAAATTTGTTTTTGCAAAATATATTTATATAGAGATATACTTATATATATATATATTATTGTTTCAAAATGTTTTAATTCCTGGGATCCATGTGAGTAGAGAGTGCAACACTGTTCCTTGCAGCCGAGGGAGAGGTCCTCTCTTGTCGGGCAGTGTTTGATCATTATGGGCTGAGAGGTTAAGTGTAAGACCATTGAGGGTAACACCTGATGGGCTAATCTTGCATCTGCCCACAATCATTGGGTTTTCATAAGGTGGTTGGAGCCAATGACCATTTAGTGTAAATGTTGGGCCCATTAAGAGTCCATAGTGATGGACTCAGGGGTTCACTGTCTCTTACAGTGAATTCGGCCAGGCCTTGTAACAAAGGTTGGGCTGAACCCATGTGGCTGATGTGTAGATCAATGYTTGAGTCCCACGCTATACAAAGAGAACCAACTGGGCAGTAGGTTAAGAGGTTAAGTGAGCACATAAGCTTAATGGGCCTAAAGCCCAATTTTGAACTGGGTTAATTAGATTAATTAAATAGGGGTGGATCTGTGTTTGGATCAGCAGATAAGGATAAGAGGATAAGTCTTATCCACTTAAAGAGTCCAAATCCAAATAAAAATTTGGATCAGGAAACTCCTAATTTGATTAGGATTAAGCTGATCTTGAACTGCAGATAAGTTAAAGGATTATGCTTATCACTTAAAGAGTCCAAATCCAAATAAAGATTTGGATCAGGAAACTCCTAATCAAATTAGGAGGTTCTCTCTTTAAGGCTATAAATAAGAGCAGGGCGGACATAAAAAAGACACCAGATACAAGACAACAATATGCAAAGTTCCTCCCTGTTCTTGCCGCCCCTACCCAGTTCGATCTCCACTTGTGGGAGTGATCAAGAATTGTTCTTGATATTGCTTCTTGGTAGAGGAAGCAATCTGAAGTTGTGCTCACCAGCCCTCTACTCCATTCCTGCTGAAGAATTCAGTTCTTGTTGAAGAGTTGTCCTACTGATCCTGCTTCACCACACACTGTATCATCTTCAGTGGAAGCGGGTTTTGGTTATATCCTTGGGCGTGAACACCTTCATTGGGAGTTACTACTACTCTGTATCAGGTGTATCCCTCTCCTCCCTTTTGGTTTCAGATCTGGTCCGGTTTGGTTCAAGATTGATCATTGAAAATGTAGTTTTCCAAAATAGGGAATGCGATTCCTAGATGGGAGAGAGAAATTTTTGAATTTTCGCCCAACCTTCCTGCAGGGTTCGGCCATCCATATGATGGATCTTTCATCCCTTCAGGGGAGACAACTTTGTACTTTGATGGGAGCGCTTTCAGAAACCCAGGTGCAACTGGTATTGGAGGTGTAATTCAAAGAAGAGATGGTACTATTAGTTGGGCTTTTAGTGGGCCGATTGGGATAGCTTTCTCAACAAAGGCTGAAGTCATGGCAGCATTAACCGGCATCTGGATTGCAAGAGACCTGGGTTTATTAAATCTTACCATTAAAGGAGATTTAGCCAACACCATTAATTGGCTCACTAATCCTGACAGTGGGTCTTGGGCCTTAGCTCACTACTTGGCTGAAGCGAGAGACATCCTCTCCCCATTGAATGCTCACGTGGGCTGGGTTCCAAGGGAGCTAAATTCTGAAGCTGACAGTCTAGCTAAATTTGGCATGTCCAAGGATTACTTATTTAGTGATAGCTTTCTGCCTATATAACTCTTTTGAGTGTCTGATTTCTGTGTACATCTCCTCATGTACCTTTCTATCTCGAATAAAGTTAACCTTTTCTTGAAAAAAAATCTTCCGAAGATTTGTTAATTCAAAAATGATACATCCAATAGCACAGAATTACTATTTTAAATTTTTAATAAAACAAAGTTACTATGTTTGGTAAAGTTCAGTCTTACTATAAGTAGTAAAAACTCATAATGACTATGCATAATAAAAACAGACCTGATAACAGGAGCTCCAAGAAAAAGTAGATATTTAGAACAGGAAGATCAAACTATCAAGATGATAGAAATCTTGAAATGCCAAAAAATAGAAAAACTAAATGAAAGATTACTAGAACAGTAAACAAGAACTGTAGCAGGAAGGGAAAGGATGATCTAGACATAGAAAAAAGAATTCAGTTTTACCGATTTGAAGATAGCATCATCATCCTTGTAGTCTTCTTGCTCTGTTACCATCTTGTCATGAATGATGAAAAGGAAAAGGGAGAAGACTTGATAGAAAGGGGGATAACATTAACAAGGATAAGGGTGATCTTGGGCCTAACAATAATGAATGCCAAATCTGTTCCTCTCTAATGAGGGACTCTTTATGTAATATGAAAACTATCAAAAATCATAGAAAGCCTCCAATGGGTCTGATATTACATTTTTTTGTTATGTATATCTGATATTACATTAACATTCTCAATCATATATTTTCTTTTTAAAATAATCCTATCCCTTTATAAATGAGCCTGGGCTAGCTGAATGTGATGGCTGTGCTGGATGATTTGTAACCAATAATTGCACCCCATGTTAGCCATGCATGTGAAGTAAGCAATTGGGTGGTTATGAGGCATATACACTATTGGCTGAAGTGGGGAATCATTATTGATTACAAGCCTCTAAAACAGCCATCACATTCAACTAATCTGTACTCCATACAAACTGAGTATTTCAACAATAATTGATGATTTTTTTTTTCAGGCACTTCTTGTTCCAGCATTTGCAATCGCAAATAATGCAGGAGTTGAGGGGTCGGTTGTTATTGAGAAGCTTCAGTCATGTGGTTGGCGAATTGGGTATAATGCTATGACAGACAAATATGAAGATCTTATTGATGCAGGTGTGGTTGATCCTTGTCGAGTTCATAGGTGTGCACTTCAAAATGCAGCCTCTGTTGCTGGGGTGGTCCTCCTGACCCAAGCTGTCCTGGTTGAGAAAATAAAGAAGCCTGAGCCACCTGTTCCTCTTGTTCCAGGAATAACTCCATAGCAATGACATTGAAATTGAATGAAAGCTGAGTATATATTTACTGATTCAGCTAGCTTCAACTAGTTGTTCCTTGTGATTTCCATTGGCCTAGCCTGGGAGACAAACAGATTAGATGGTTTAGACAATAGAGGACCATGAATAGTGAACACAAATGAAAACACAAGCTTGGGCAGTCTACAACAAATTGGGCATTGTAGCCGAGTCTTCAACGCATGATCATGAAATCTCATGTTTGAGTAGTAAGTAGTTCATTAATCTTGAACTAAAATTCTACTCGTTACTCTATTCAATAATTAGCTGTATTTATAGATTGAATTTGTTTAGATTTTTTTTGATAATTAACTGAACTTTTTTTAAAACTTAAAAAGAGCATCAAGTACAATAGAGATTGAATTTGTTTAGATGTTTCTTTATTTTATGCAGAATCGGTGAAAATGTTGTTCTATTCAAAAGGGGGAACCGTATTTATGATCTGTACCACCCGAAGATGAAGTGTGTTTCAACTTTCAACAAGAGCACACCATCTCATTTACCATCTCAGGCTTAAAAGTTGTGTGGAACATGCTTCGGGCTGCATGCCTTTGCCTCTTTGGTCTTACAATGCTGTGAAACGTTACTGCATGTTTTGATCAAACCCATCCAAGCTCCATTGTCGAACAGAAGACCCTCAGCTCAGTGATACCTTTGAAGGCTACATCAAGAATTTCCATGCAACATGCAAGAATTGTTACATTTGAATTTATTTGAAGACTATTAATAGTTCTATACCATGTAGGCCATTGAATTTTGCATCACCGTAAGACTATTCATAGTTCTATATCATAGTATGGTCGAGGCATTTTATTGACCAGTTTAGTTATCAAATGCTCTATTAACTGAGTTTCCACTCTGTTCAATTAACCCAACTCGATCTTGACCTAACCCAAAGTTTTAAGGTTGGGTTAGAGTTAGGGTTGAGGATTTAACAGCTCAGGTTGAATTTGGGTTGACCTCAACCCAAGTACAACCTAACCTGGCCTGACTTTGCACACGTGCATAGCATGTGTCCTTTGTTAGTTTAGGGTGCTGTGAACATGTTCTTAGTAGGGTGTGCCGCTAGGAGAGTTGCGTGGGAAAATTGGGGTGAGGTTGTGAGGGAGAGAGCAGAAAAACAGAGTGCCATGGGAGCTCACCAGTCACCACAAACTAACATAGAGAAAACGAATTCTGAGGAAGGAAATTAGATTTTAACGGCCGAGAGTCAGCGAATAGACGGCTCAGTACACCGTTTGGTTGAGATCTTATTCCTCGCTGTCTGTAAGCTGGCCAAAGATGTTGGCGAATCACGTTGAACGGTTTTGGGTAAATTACACTATTTTCAAGATAAATTTCTTAAATTATCTTACCCACACTAAGCCTACTGTTTCTTACCGTTAACATAAATACAAAAAGACTATTTTACCTTTTATGTTTCTTCAAAATTTCAAAATAAAACAACTTAAACATGGAAAGGAATCTCATACTATGTTTCGATGGAGTCCGATCAAAACTGAAATTACAGAATAATTTACTGAAAGAGCGGAGAGCGAAGAGGGAAGTCTGAGAACGGAGAGCGTAAGTTGGGAGATTGAGAGACAGGCAGAGGAGGAAGTCTAAGAACGGAGAAAGGAGAGAGAGACCAGAGGCAGAGGGGAGGTCTGAGATGAAGGATTGAAAGCGTAACTTTTGATGATGCTCTAGAAGAGGACGATTGAAGTGGGTGATCATAGGAAGGTACGCCTGTTCACTGTGCGGATTTAACGATTGAAGCACCACTTGCTGCACTAAAGCTCTCATTACTCTATTATATACGGTAGCTATTGGGGTGTTGTTGGTGATGAACAAGATTCAGCCATTGCAACTGTTGATGCTCGGATTGGCTGAGGACAACAAAATAATTTCGTCTTTGGGCTCTAGAGGTGGGCCAAATGCTTCGAGGATTCGGAGACGAGGTGCTGAGGCCGAGGGTTATAAGCCTAGGCTGATCGTGTACCGAGTTTCATAGAAGCCGAGGGCTGGTAGCTGAGGTGCTGCAAGGCAAAGGATGTCAGAGGCCTCGGGTGGGAACTTGAGGCGGAGACTCTGACGGTCAAGTCAGTACGACGGTACGAAGAGGGGAATTAAGTACAGACGAGTAGACCTGTTCATGGGTCGGGCAGGGTCGGGCTTTCACTCTGTATTAACAGATTTTTCTACCCGAGCCTGAGCCTAGCTTGACCATCGGGCCTACAACTTGGGCCCGAGCCCGAAATTTAGCCCATGTTGTTACTACTGTTGCCCGAAATTCAATGCCAAAACACTGTCAATTGAGCAAGCAATGTAGAACAATATTTTATTCAAGTAATAAAATATCAAGTTTCCCCTTCCATATTATGTATTCTGATGTTTGGGGGCCTACTACTATAACTTCAGAGGGTGGGTATAAGTATTTTATCATATTGATTGATGATTTTTCCCACTATACATATATATTTCCCATGCATAGTAAAGACAAAGTTCCAAAGGTTGTGAGAGATTTCCAGAGGATGGTGTTTACATAGTTATGTTGAAATCTAGATTTTTTAATCAAATAATGCAAAAGAACATCACAACAAAATGGTATTGTAAAAGGAAATAGTAGTTGTGCAAGACTACAGATTTGAACAAAAAATAAAAGAAAATTAGAAGAGAAGAAGAGAGATGGAGAAGAAGAACTCGTGGAAGGGTTTTAGGAGAAGAGAGTGGTTGGTTGTCTTAACAGTCGCCCCACCCTTTGAATTTAAATACAAGCTTTCATAATTGTAATAGGACTTAATGTTTACATGGAAAGATAAGATAAGATAAGATTAAAAACTAATCCTACTAGGAAAGCTAATCCTAATCAAGACTTAATTAAATTTATGCTGTCCCACGAGTACATTAATGTGGAGTCCATAGTTTCCTACACTCCCCCTCAAGTTGGGAGTATATGTTTGTCATTCCCAACTTGCATAGATCTTCTAACTTTTTCCTTGAAACAGCCTTGGTGAGAAGGTCTGCAAGCTGCATGTCGGAAGTGATATAAGGAATGCATACTTCTTGAGATGTAACCCTTTCTCTAATAAAGTGTCGGTCCACTTCAATATGCTTAGTTCTGTCGCGCTGTACTGAATTATGAGATGTATTAATGGCAATCTGATTATCACAGTACAACATTAGGGGTTTCTCATAAACAATACCAAATTCCTCAAATAATGATCTTAACCATAAAATCTCAGCCACACCATTTGCCATGGACCTATCTTCAGCTTTAGCACTGGAGCAAGAAACAACACTTTGTTTCTTACTCTTCCAAGAAACCAGATTACCTCCTACAAAGGCACAATATCCAAAGGTAGATCTTCGATCATCAACACACCCAGCCCAATCAACATCTGTATAGACTTCTATCTTCATGTAATCATTATTCTTGAACAAAATACCTCTGCCTAGGGACTTCTTCAAATATGCTAATATCCTCTCAACTGCAAGGAGATGAGTAGTTCTAGGAGAATGCATATACTGACTAACTACACTGACTAAATAAATGATGTTGGGTTGTGTGAGGCAAAGGTAGAGAAGTTTCCCAACTAACAGTTAGAACATAGCTTTATCTTCAAGAGGCTCTCCTCCTTCTGCACTGATCCTGTGGTTTTGTTTAATAGGTGTGTCTGTAGGCTTAACTCCCAACTATCTTATTTCTTCTAGCAGATCAAGCATATACTTTCGTTGAGAGACAAAAATCCCATGCTTGGATCTAGCTACCTCAATGCCCAAGAAGTATCGTAGTTTCCTCAGATCTTTTACCTCAAACTCTTGATGAAGGAGTTGCTTAAGAGACTCAATTTCACTACCATCACTTCCTGTTACTACAATGTCATCCACACACACAACAAGCAAAGTTATGAAAGAAGCCACTCTCTGAATAAACAAAGTGTAGTCTGACTAGGCCTGCACATATTCGAACCTTTCAAGGGCTCATCTAAATCTATCAAAACCAAGCTCCAGGGGACTGTTTTAGTCCATACAAGGCTTTGTTCAATTGACAAACCTTTTTTCCTATTTCCATACCATAAAATCCAAGAGGCAACTACATGTAAACTTCTTCCTGCAAGTTTTCATTGAGGAAGGCATTTTTAACATCCATCTAATACAATGGCCAAGAGTAACTAGCTGCAAGAGATAATAAGACTCTGATAGTGGTCATCTTTGCTACTAGTGCAAAAGTTTCTAAGTAGTCAATACCATATGTCTGAGTAAATCATTTTGCAACTAATCGGACCTTATACCTTTCAACAGAATCATCAACATTATGTTTCACAGTGAATACCCATCTACATCCAACCGGTTTCTTTCCTTTGGGCTGATCAACTATTTCACATGTATTGTTTCTAATGAGAGCATCCATTTATACTTTTATTGCATCTTTCCATTCTGGTATTGCCCATGCTTCTTGTATTGTTCTGGAAATGGGAATATCCGCAATAGATGCAAGAAAAGACTTGTAGGAGAAAGACAAATGATCATAGGACAAGAACTGAGAAATGTAGTGAGTTGTTGATATGGTGCAACGACGCTTACCCTTACGGACTGCTATGGGAAGGTTAAGATCATCTAATGAAGGTGAAGGCTCCATGGCGGGATGTCTCTCATTTGTAGTATTTGTGGTACCTAGATCTGGATCTATAGAAGGAACTGGGGCTATTATGGTATCGGGATCTGGATCTACAGAGGGGGTTTGGATTGGCCTGGACTGTTGATGTCCGAAATCAACTTGTCTCCATCATCTGTGATAAACTCTCACATCCCTACACCTTTGACAACCTTCCCCACTGCACACTTCTTCACTTAATGGGATTGGTAAAGGAACTTCTAATGTGCTAATCCCAGCCTCACTATTCTCCCCCTAAGGAGAAATTCGTGGATAATAGGGTTTATCCTCAAAAAAGATGACATCCATTGAGACAAATCTTTTTCTAGAAGTGGGTTCATAACAACAATATCTTTTTTGAGTTTGTGCAGAACCAAGGAAAATACATTTGGAAGCCTTATGATCAAATTTAGAATGATGAGGACCAAGGATTTGAACGAAGCAAATGCAACCAAAGGTTTTAAGTGGAATGGTGAACAATTCTTTATCAAGGTATAGAAAGGTAAATGGAGATTTCATGTCAAGAACCCGTGAGAGAATCCGATTGATGAGATATATTGTTGTAAGAACAGCATCCCCCCAGAAACGTATAGGCACATTTGAGGTAAACATAATGCCTCTAGCTACCTCCAATACATGTCTATTCTTTCTTTCACCAACCCCATTCTGCTGTGGTGTATGTAGGTAGGTACTCTGATGGATAATCCCATGGTCAAGCAGGTATTAGGCTAATGGGTTTGCAAAATATTCTTTTGCATGATCAAATCTAAAAATTTTAATTTTGACCCCAAAGTGGGTTAAAATCATTTGATGAAAGATTCGGGTTAATGTTGGGACCTCATCTCGAGAACGCAAAGTAAACCCAGGAAAACCGAGTATAATCATCAACAAATAACAGGAAATATCTGTACCCTCCATGGTGTGGTATGATAGGGTCCCCAAACATCAGTATGCACAATTCCAAAAGGAATATTGCTCATGTTATTACTTAATGAATAGGTTGTCCTACAATGTTTTGCAAGCTCACAACTCTCACTTTTCAAACTAGACATCTGGACAGATTCAAATAAACTAGGAAACAAACTTTTCAAGGCCTAAAAGGATAAATGACCCATCTTATTATGCCAA